CCCCCCCCCCCCCCCCCCAAATCCTCGGCGCAGGGACTCTCAGGTTGCCACCATACAGCGAGGCCACGGGGACGCTGCCCTGAAAGCTGGCGCCGTTTTCAATGGTTTTAAGTTTTGGGGTGTTGGGTTTAGGGCTCTAAGTTTTTGGGCTTAATGTTTGGGCTGGGTCTTTCGGACTGCGGCGAGCTTTCAGGGGTGTTTGGGGCTTTGCTTTTTTGCGTGTTCAGGGCTTTCAAAATATCAGCGCTTTTCAGTGAATTAGGTTGTGCGAGTTGTTAGGAGTGTGTTCCTTGTTAACCGACTCAGTGTGCGTGGCAGCTCTAGGTTTTAAGGACGTTAGGGTCTAAGGAGGCTTTGTGTTGGAGGGCTTGGTGTTCATTTCCTTGCAGCCAGTAGCACCAGCCCCCAAAACCCTAACACCTAAACTTTTGACCCCTGAAGCCCTGAAAGACCGTAAAGACCCTAAACCCTGAAAGACCAGTAAAAGCTCCAAGCAAAGCCAGAAACACCATAAAACCCCGCTTGGTGGAGTTCCCTGGCCAGTGCGTGGTAATTATTAATCATACCGGGTGAACCTATGGCACGGCCAATGTGATCGGGCTGAGGCGGGCGACACGAAGCATGTAGAATTACCAAAATTATTCTATCGGATTCCTCAGACAAAATTACACCCCCCCCCCTCAAAAAAAAAAACGTGCCCAGATCCAACCATCGAGGCCCCCATGTTGCGAAGAGACCTTTGGCCGGGCCTGCAGATGCTTCCCGAAGCGGAAGATCGAATCTTTGCGAACTCCCGGGAAGGCCTTGGCAAGAGTGGATTCGTACGAACTCCGCTTGGGGGCCCAAGGATAGCTACAGGGTTCAGGGTTTACGGGGTTTCGTTGCATAGGGTGATTCGGGCTTGTAAGGTTTGCTTGCTTAGGCTAGTTTTGCTTATGTGGGGCTTCGGGCTTGAAGGCTCGTAGAGTTGGAGGCTTCTTCATGGCTGCTAGAATTAGGATGCGTCCAACGCTGCGGTGTAACTAACACGTGATTTTACAGAGTTCTTTGCTTTACCAGTGCCTGCCCGAAACCTTCAAATCGAGATGACTGGCCTTAGGTTGGGATTCTCGGCCAGGACCACCATTTTGCCGAGGAGTGGACTGAAACTAGGCCACGCCATGCCATGCCACTGCCAATGTCGTGCGGGGAATACGCGTACAACCCCACTCCGAAACCCGAACTCCAAAATCCCAAACATCTAACCTGAGACTTTGAAGCTCTTGTTTGAAATAAAACAAATGATGAATTATGAATCACACTACGATTGTACAACTACAGCCCGATACCCTCACCTCGAACTACCATAAATCCGCTAATCCCAACCCCTCTTCAGCACCGCACAAAAGCATCTCGGCGAAAACAGGGCGAGCTGCCAAGGGCTTTCCTTGAAGCCTAGCAATCCGGTAGCAGCCGCCGGTGTCGGGGAGCAGCGAGGGTGCAGGGACTACCTTGGGGCCAAGTTTGGAACTTAGGCTTAATTAGCTCGTTTAAGGGTTCATTGAAGGCTCCTATAATAACCGTTTTTCTAGGGTTTAGGGCCGTTTGGGGTTTAGGTTTAGGACGGACCTATAGCGGCCCGGCGAGGCTGTGGTTGGTCGGTCGTGCCCGTAAGGCCCCAAGCTTGAATCCAGATGTAGGGTTTAGGGTGTTTAAGGCTTAGGGCTTAGCCTAGGAACATCCCAGCCCTACCTAGACCCTAAAATGCAGTACCTCTCCTAGCCACAACTATAGGTTATCCTAGAGATGGTAGGGTTTCGGTAACACACAAAAAAAACCTAAAGACCCTTTCAACACCATCCAGCTTTGCGGTATGCTAGAATATCACTACCTTTCAGTTAACCCCCCTAAGGAACAATTGGTACTTTTTCAGAGCCCCTATATTACTATACAATGTTAGAAAAGCAAAGCGTGCTTCCAAAGCCGAAGCCACCTCGAAACCCATTGCATCCATTTCCAGGGCAGGCTTCTCGTCCAGGAAACACAGGACAGTCGCCTGGCTCACGATGTGGAGGCTGAGCCTTAGCTGTACGGTTCAGGGTTTAGCACATACAGAGTCTAAGGTGTGTAGGAATTCCATAGCTCGGGGTTTAGCAAAGCTTATGCAACAAGGATCTTCTTAACAGCAGATGTTTCTTAGGCCACCTTATGGATTATAGAACCCTTATCGCAGGGGTCTATAAAGGTCGCTCGTTTGAATCATGACGGTCCTCTCGTTTCAGAGCCGGAGTTGTAAATTAAGGGATAGGGGCTACCTTAGTTGTGTAGGGTCTGCTGTAGGCTTTGGGGCTTCGGGTCTGCATTTAGGATTTAGGGGTTAGGGTCTGCATTTAAGGTTCGTGTGCATAGGGTCTGCATTTAGGGCTTAAGGTTTAGGGTCTGCATATACGGGCCATCGTGTAATCTAGACCCTTGGTGAATAAGTGAAGTATTGGTGTTGTGTTTTCTGTTGCTTCAGGGCTGCTGACATGAGTTCAAGACAAGCAAGCCAAGTGGCCTTACGTTTCGGGGCAAGTACCTGAAGCCAATAACATGGCAATCCGTCTTGCGGCCCGAGAAGCTCGACCATTCGCCGGACGAGCCCGGCTGTGGATGCTGCGACATGGACCTTGTAGGACGTAGAGTATTTAGAGTTGTCGATTTGAGGAGTTTAGATCTCTAGGATTTCATAGCTTGGTTTTGGGTTCAGCTTTCTGTCGGCAGGAACCTGGGATGGTTGCACTGTATGCCTGGGCTCTTGTGAAGCAACTTAACTGCAGACCACAATCTGAATCTACCGCGCATAACATGGTTCTCTTCATGTGGCAGCTGCTAGCTTACAGTTCCCTTGCAGCCAAAAAACCCGCGCTAGCACTCCTTACTCCATAGTCCTCAGCAAAGCCGAAACGGCTCAACATTGCAGGCCCTAACCACCAAACTTCCAAATCCTTAGCCCCACACCCGGAACTCCTGGTCCTGAACCCCAACCCCTAACTGAAGCCCGAAACGCTACACCCTATCCTCAATAAATACGATACGAAGGCAAACCCGGCAACCCGTGAGCCCGAAAACCCTCGAATGCCCCAAACCCAAAACCTAAAACCACAAAGCCCCTACCCATAGGCTCCATTGTGATTGGGCTACCTTATGGGATCCTAAATACAAAGCACAAAAAGGAACTACTGTGGAGCCTATGGGTACAACCTAAAACTCACATGCTTAAGGAGCGTATCGTCCTGATGAACATTCGTTTACAAGCCTGTACAAAACAACATAACACCTTTACAAAACCTCGTAAGGAACTGAGCCCATTGAACTGACACGAGACAGCCACGAGCTCCACAACTTGACCACCCAGCAGCATCTGGAGGAGCCGGCCATCGAGAACCTCAACAAATCCCGAAGGCCCCCTAAGCCCTATGCAACCCAAATCCTGTAAACCTTGAAAGCCTCTATCTACAGAAACAAGCTATGCACGCGCAAACCCGAAAGCCAAAACCCAAACCCGGCCACAAACAACTGCCAGCAATTCCGAGAGTCGGTGAGGATTTGTCGGGTTTTGTAGAGGGTTCACTGACAAATGACGAAAACGGGGAGGTGGATGCCTTTTAGCAAGCGGTTCGATTTGGGTCGTCCGGGGCTCCTTCGTATGGTGGCAGGAACACTCATTGATTCCGCCAGGGACCCTAAACATGGATTGAAGTCTCTACACCCTGAACCCGCAACCCTAAACTCCTGAACCCTAAATATTTAGCTGCCATGTTGAAGTCTTTGGGCACGCACACAGAAGGCTACTTGATATTTTTATCTAGGGGCTTGTAGAGTTCAGCATTTCTTCATGGTTCATCCCTTCTTAGGGCTCTTTCTGAGGCGTCATCTATGCATTGGTACTATTGCACATCCCTGCCCTACTAGACTTGGATTATCAGGGGATATAGTAAGCAAGGTTAGAAATACCCTAATTGGAGTTATAGCTGATTATGGCTAGAGCCCTATTTTCTTGGTCCAAAGATCCTTCCTTTTGCTGCAAGACATTTCCTAGACTCCCGCCTCGAGCCAGCAGTGATGGGGCTTTGCATTCTGAGTGGACTTGGCTCATGTAAGGTAGGCGCCTCAATAATTAGACTACGGTTTTTTCAAAGTGCAGTAGCCCGTTTAGGGTTTAGGGTGTATTAAGCCTTTTCATTAGAAGAGGGTGTTGGGGCATATTGTATTGTAATGACATTAAAGAGTCCTAAAATAGCACTGGCAAATATTTAGGCTTGTTTAGTATCCAAGTGCCTGACACCGGATAGTCATATGCAGGGTTTAAGGTTTAGCGCTTGCACCCCCATAGACTCAACTACGCGACTGCTACCCCTAAACCCCAAATCTTGAAATTCCCTTCGAGCTTGCTTTGGGTTTAAGATTTGGTTTATCTTCCCAAAGGGTCCTCGGTGGAGCTATATGCGAGATACAGCAAATCCTATTGTAGAAACCCTACTTTCGACGACATAGGTACTAATGACCATGTTGGGTTTGGTTTCTTGGCCATAGCTACTTGGCAGGTTCAGAGTTATCCCCTAAATCGACAAGCACGATCTAATTCTACCCGCCCCCTCCCCCCCTTGGCACCACATCACCACATCCTAAACTCTATAAGCCCTCACCCAACGAAGAACCCTAAGACACCACAGAGCTCTGCACCTCCAAACTTGCAGCCCTCACCTGTTCAGCTTCGAAGCCTCATCGGAGCCACCGAAAGCCCAAGGCAGCGTCCAACTTTGCGGGTGGCTCTCAGAGGGAGAAATGAAGGAACCCATGGCGCTGGCTGCAGGGTGTAGAGCCTCCAGGGGTTTCTGGGCTGCCAGAGCGACTCCCCACCGGGCTTTCGGGGCTTGGGGCTGTAGCGTTTAGGGCCGAAGGTGCAGGGTTTAGGTGTTTGGCGTTTGCGATTTAGGGTGTAGGGTTTTTGCAATCAGGATTTAGGGTGTAGGGTTGAGGGCTTCTGGGCAGCCTTCCCTCTCACGAACCCCACACACCCCTCGACAAAATGCAAGGTAACAGATTTGTTCGTGTAGGATCTGAATCCAACTCGCAAACAGTCCTGCTACCAACTTCAAAAGGAGTGCGCCACAAACAAAAAGAATAACTGGAACAAGGCATGCAGTGGACGTACCGCTATTCCTTCCAGCACCCCATACCCTAGATTAAAGCCCTAAGCCGATCGGGGCAGTCCGAGCTGTCAAGGCATACCCACAGGCTCCATAGTAGTACTTTCTTTGTTTTGTATTTAGGATCCTATAAGGTAACCCCAAAAAAGGACCACAATGGAGCCTATGGGTCGGTGCCTGCGCTAAAGTCCATGCATCGGCTGAGTTCACCATGGAGAGCAGGAAGAGATCACCTTCAGGATCTGGGTCGTTAGGACGTTTGGGGCTTTGCTTCAGGGATCTCAAGGGTTCTGGCTTTCAGTGTTTATGGCGAGTAATTGTTAAGGTTTTAGGGTTTAGGGTTTAGGGTTTAGGGCAGTGTAGTTATGGATTAGTTATACGACGACCTGAGCTTTCTCTAAGGATTCTCTTCAACGGGCCTCGAGGGCTCGTGAAACTCGCCCTCCCCCCCCAACTAAGTCTCAAAGTGATGCGCCAAACTGTCCTGATTCCCTGCATGCCTAAATCTCAGGGCTTGGGGCGAAGGGTGCAGGGTTTGAGGGTTTACTGGCCCAAGACTCCAAGACTCCAACAAGGGACAGTAGCAAGCAGATGATGGGCGAGTCTGAAAATGTTCACATACACATATACTTACATGTACATACACATATGCACATTGACATGTATCTGTTCTGCATGCTGGCAAAGAGAGAAGAGAGCAAACAGGAAGGGATCGATGCCGTAGCCTTGGAGTTACTAACTCTGAGCGCAGACGAGCTGCCGAAGCCAGGAAGATCAAGCATTCGTCGCCTGAGTTGCAAGGCCCCTAAGAAATACGAGTCTTGAAAGCTGACCGGCTCCTGGAACCTGCTGGAAGCTCTCGTTGCCAGGAAAGAGTGCCATCTTCATGTACCCGGTTTAGGGTTTAGGGTTTAGGGATGTACCCTGCCAATGAGCCAGACTGAACTACAGTGTCTGCTGCACAGGGAAGAATCCTACCTTGAACCCTAAACCCTATGAGGCCCGAAGGCTTCAGCATGCCCTCAATCCTAACCCCTAAACCCGAGTTCTCTGCAACCAGGTCACAGGGGGCTAGGCCGAAAACCATGTCCAAACCTCTGCTCTCATTGAGGAGCTCAGTTTAAACTCGAGCAAAGAACATCGCAACCGCTGTAACTAGTATCTTTTTGTACATTATGCAATAAATACATAAGCAAATTAACACATAAACAAACAAAACAGATTAGCACATAAATAAACAAAACATACATATATATATATATATTTATAAATGTATATATTTATATTTATATGGACGTAAACTATATGTAACATAGTAACATACGTACATAGACACATACACATAACTATATATAGTATGGTAACTTAAACTGGGTTCCTGAACCAGACCTCAGAAACAGCTCCACCCACAGACGGCCGGCTTGAACAGCGCCTGGCACTGCCTTCACAGCGCCGGAAGATTGAGAGGCCCGAGTTTTGCAACTTTACCTAGGGTTTATTTGAACTTGTGTGAAGCTGGGGGTTTAGGGTTTACGGTTTAGGGTTTAGGGTTTAGGGTTTAGGGTAGGGATGAAGGGTTTAGGGGTTTTGGGACTTAAGGTTTAGGTTTTGGGATTAAGGAGCCGGAGGGTCCAAAACCTAAATGTAAGCGCAGTACACAAGCAACAATTTTGCAACTGATCACGAGCATCACCCGTGGTAATATCAGTACTAAAGCGACTATTGCTTGCTTAAGAAAGGTTCATGCATTTTTCGCACCCTAAATCTTGATTCGTAAGCTCCAAACCCGCAAGCAGGGTATCCCAAAACCCTTCAAAGCCCCGACTAACTCCAGTAGTCCAAGCACGAAACCTGTTTTGGGGTCTCTCGCTGGGCGGTTTGGGGCTAGAGCTTCCAGGCGTGGAGCTTCGGAGCTTACGACTTGGGCTTAGGGATTGAGGTTTAGGGTTTAGGGTTTAGGGTTTAGGGTTTAGGGTTTAGGGTTTAGGTTTGGGGTGTCGGTTGTTTTTGGGATTCGGTTTCGAAGCTTTGGCGATGACCGTGCTCTTCAAGGCTTTGGGGTCATAAAGGTCTAAGGTTAAGGACACTTCAGTCCTCAGATGCTAAGTGCGTACATGGAAAACCTGACCTGAACCTTAACTCTCTCTCTCTCTATATATATATATATATGTATGTATATATATATATATATATATATATTATATGTATTCACGCTAAGCCCTACAAAGTAAATCCTGAATCCCACGGGGCTCGTGCGCCTGGTTCTGGAGCATCGCCAAGGTCAGCCCCGCCCAAAGCCGACTTCCGCAGACAGCGACCCCCAAGCGCAAGGCCTGGGAGGCACAGCCGGGTCCTCGCGGAGTTTTACCGGGTCTGGCGTTTAGGGTTTAGGGTTTACCGCAGTAGGGTTTAGGGTTTTAGGGTTTAAGGCTTGGGGTTTATAGGGTTAGAGGGTTTAGGGTGTACAGGGTTTCAGGATTCAGGTGTGTCTTGTCAGACTCAGGGTCTAGTTTTATGTTGGGGGAGGGAGGAGAGCTTATGAGGTTGATGTTACTGTTGGTATGGCTACTGGTATGTTTGTTGTTCCACTACCGTTTTGACTATGGTTATTCTGTCTAATTGCATTATTTTGTTTGCAGCTGTTACAAGTACTGTCAGGACTAGGAGTCTTATTGTTGTTTGACCGCGTCTTGGCAGTTAGCGTGTTGGCTTTGAGGGTAAGTCGGGCTGAGGGACGAGAGGATTCCAAAAGCTTCGACTCTGCCTCCTTCTGTGCTTAATTAGTTTAGGGCTGTTTACGGTTTTAGGGTTTAGGATTTAGGGCTTAGGCGGTTCTGCATTTGCACACTCATGCGTTCGGCTGGCTTCTTGCCCAGTTCGAAAGATGTCGCAACTTCTCGGCCCAAGGTGTGTCAACCCACACACAAGAAAACCAAAACCCCAAGCCCCAACACCCAACCGCTGCAGCACATCCCCGGCTGCAGGCCGAAGAACAAGGCTTGTTTGGAGCATTTGAGGTCATTCGTATTTTGATTAGTACAGCAGAAGTAGGAACACCTAAATACAGCGTGTTGAAATGCATTGCAAGTTAATGAAGCTTCACGTCTATACAATAGTTCCTATAGTTGGCAGGTAAGTACTTAGGCCTTAAAGTATCTACCGCCTATATAGGAACCCCTTAAAGCTTAAGTACACACTAATGGGCTACTGGGTACATGGAGCCCAAAACTTGGCTTAATCCCAAACCCCTTTACTAAACCCTGATAACCCAATAGTCTCCCCTTGTAGAAAACCTGAAAGGAACCTTTTCAAGGAACCCCGTCAGCTCGTGTGGGAAGTTTCGAAAATAAGGGGTACCTCGTTTTGGGGTCCTTATAAGAAGGATCCTACTAAGTTACTATTAAGAGGACTAAACCCTAAACCCTAAACCCTAAACCCCAAAAAACCCTAAACATTAAACCCTAAACCCTAGCCCTAAGCCCTACAAAACCTATACTACATCAGGAGTCCCGTAATTTTCGGAAACCCTAAACCCTAAACCCTAAACCCTAAACCCTAAACCGTCCTTGGCCAACCTCGTTCAGGTCCAGGGTTGCTCGGAATCTCAGCCGGCCCAGTGTTACCTCTGCCCACGATCCTGAGGGTTTAGGGTTTAGGGTTTAGGGTTTAGGGTTTAGGGCAGATTCTGAGGCTTACGTAAAACCGCCATTGTAGTTCCTTTTTGGATCACCGATGTTATTATCTAGTATCCTATAAGGCAACCTGCAAAAGAACTACAAGACTATAGGTAGGGTTTGGGGATAATAGGCTCAGCTTGTGCGGCTTGATTCGGGTTGATGTATTTGACAGAACATGAACGGTCGCCCTCCAAGCTACCACCAAAAACTTCAAATCCAAACGCTGGACCCTGAAAACCCACACCCCGCAACTTCTGACCCTGAGCCCCCAAACTCAAGAACGCTAATCCCTAAAGTCTCCCTCAAAGCAACCCTTAAAGTACCCCCTGAAAAAGGGTCATGAAGTAGCCCTTGAAAAATATCCGTTTGAAGGATCCCTTCAAGGAGGTCTTACAATGACAGTAGCGGAACAAAAGGAGACTGTCAGGGTTTCGGGGATTCAGGGTTGAGGATTTCGAGGGTCATACAATATCTGTACTATAGTCTATAGGGTTCAGGGTTTAGGATTCTATAGTCTCCATTTTAGTTCCTTTTCTAGTGTGACCAATTTTTAGTTAGGATCCTCTAAGGTACCACCCAAAAAGGAACTACAATGGAGACGATGGGTAGAAGACCCGGGTAATGTGAGGAATGTATTCACTTAGCGGGGCTCTCTGAGGAAAGCTAAGATGGCCTGGGTTCTCGGACCGCTCTGGAAGAGGCTTCTCGAAGCCCAAATCGAAGGACCAAGCCTCAAGGCTGATGCTGTTTAGGGTTTAGGGTTTAGGCTTTAAGGTTTAGGGTCTTGGCGGTTCAGAGTTTAGGGACCAGGGATCAGAAGGCTGAGGCGTAGTACGTACCTACAGCCGGCTCGCACCAGAAACAAGCCATCGTCTTGTTTTTCTGTGTTGAAGTGATTACCTTGTCGTGCGTACTGCTCGAAGGCTGTTTCGACTTTCCGCTGCGAGAAGGAAAAACCTACTGTAATTAAGCAATAAGATGCCTAGTTTCTTGCCTCAGCACCATTAAGGGGCCTAGGACCTGGACCACCCCAAGCAATCAGTGTTAAGCCTCAACCTTACCCTGAAGCCCTCGCGTCTTTCAGACTGCGAGCAGAACAGCTTTCACACCAGTTCCTCGCCAGACAACTCCACAGGAACGAGACGGGCAAAG